GCGAAGGTTTTATTTGGACGAGAGATGAGGCTTCCATGTGACTTGGTCTTCGGATGTAGACCTGGTGAGGACATAGTAGGGGAAGATTACGTTACGAATCTGATGAGAAAGATGCACGATATTCACGAATTGGTTCGTTCTAATCTGAAAATTGCCAGCGATCGCATGAAAGACCGGTACGACATCAGAGCTGGGGGTGCAGGATACGCAGAAGGAGACCTGGTGTGGTTGTACAATCCACAAAGGAAACGAGGTATTTGTCCAAAACTACAGAGATCTTGGGAAGGACCTTATACCGTCAAGAAGAAGATCAACGATGTCATATACCGCATCAGTAAAGAACCCAGTGGCAAACCAAGAGTCGTTCATTTCAACAGACTAGCACCATTCGAGGGAACACAAGATCAACAAGTTCAACAAATTTGTCCAGAAGAAAATGAGCTTACATTCGACGAATTCATTGGGACATACAGTGGTTCATCAACAGCAAGGTTTGGCGTCACCAAGGAAGAGCACCGCGACCTTTTTGCCATTCCTGTAGAATACGCACTAGCTCACTGCGTCGCCGAGGACCTTCAGATGTCTCAAGGAATAGCGAACAAGTTCATGAGGAAGTTCGGGAAGTTAGAAGAGCTTCATCAACAAGGTCCCTCCGTCGGTCGAGCACTAGAAATAGAAGATATCAGCACTGAAGGAAAAAGGTCTCTGTTTTATCTTATAACGAAAGGAAGATCTTCTGAGAAACCCACTTACAAGGACCTCTGGGAGACGCTAGTCGACTTGCGAAGCATCATACTCGAGAAGGACATACAGAAGATAGCTGTTCCAAAGCTGGGGTGTGGACTGGATGGCTTGAATTGGAGAGTTGTAAGGAACATGCTGGAGGTTTTATTTAGATTCACCGGAGTTGAAATTCTGGTATGCTGCTGGAACTCCAAGGGAACTCCAACAGAGAAGACAGTGCCATGTTATTTCTACCATACTGCACGTTGTAAAAATGAAACCAGTTGTCCCTATCTTCATAGTGATCAGAATGCATTCCAGGAGGAATGCGTTTTAAGGAGGGGGCAGTGTAATGATATTTCCCTTGGAGGGGCTTTAGAAACATCAGCAGGAAGGCAGGAGTACAACGATCATCCTGTATCACGCATACCAGATTGCTCTCCTACCTCCCAATGCACTAGCATATTCCCGAACACTCAATATATGCCGCGGTGACAGATAACGTCACAGAAGATTCTGGAATGTTCTGGAAACAATCGATGGAACAATTAGAGAGAGAGGTTCGTTCTAAGAAGCTTCTAGAACAAAAAGAAGGAGACGGAAGTTCATTCGAGAAGGTTCTCGAACCAAAGCCTGTCTAGTTATCTCATATATAAACGGCCGAATAACTGCCGTCGGGGAGTCAAACAGCGAGTGTCAGAGAGACAGTTATATACCGCGTGTTATAAATCGTTTTACATAAATAGTAGTTATAAGTTCGATATAAATTAGTGTTTCTTTAGTTTAAATAAATCAGTTGGAAAATAAATAGTGTCGTGTTCGCTTCTGCACCCGAATAACGTAACAATACCATTTAAAATAACAAACTTGTTGCTACTTTTCGATAGAAGCGGCAACGCCGCAGAGCTGAAAATATTTTAGATCGATAGATCAAGAGCAATTACTTGAGTAACCAAATTTTCAGAATGATCTTATGTCCCGTTCTCCGTAAACGTCTAAGGTGCCATCGACCGTGACCCACCCTGTATGATATAGCCACTGCTTACATGGTGGGTTGTCTGATCATCCCAAGGAACCATTCACAAATATGTTTTTTCTGTGACAAAAAAAAAGTTGAATTTCATCTCTGTTGACAGGCTATAAAATGTCACTTTTCATAAATAACTTTTTTCTCAAGGGAAATCTAGAAAACGGTTAGAGATATGGAAATGCCCACCAATCTCTACATTTAACAAAAATCTAACTCTAGAAGCTTTGGTCAGATCTTCTCTAGCTGTTCTGAAAAAAGGAAAAACTGCCAAAATCAAGCAATTTGTGACACCTTGTACAGGAGGGAAACAACAGTGTAATTATATCCTTGGGCAAGCAAAGGAAAATTTCCATTGTTTATACAACAGTGCTTTTGTAAAGTACTGAATAAATTTTTTAAATGGAACACCATATATGATATTAAATTTTTAAAACCTTAATGGAAATCTGAATTCAAAATTGTATTACACATAGGGTTTGTATACAGTGTGTCTGCTAAATCAAGTGCTGTTGTAAAGTAGTGGATAAATTCATTTTTATCCATGCTGCCAATTTCTGAGGAATCTCCTGGAACAGATTGATTATTATTTTCAATTGGCTACATTTATGAGAGAATTTTTTTTCAAATTGAACACCCTATAGGCCAGGTAGGAGCATGGTAGAAGCGTTAATATTCTATCGCGTTGACTTGCCGATCTTGGGTTCACTTCTATTGCAGAAAATTTTCTGATGGTCCTAGAAAGTGTTTGGGATCACACGTTAAAAGACAAGACCCCCGTCATTCCTTGCTCACACAAGTCTGAGGGTTGCTCATAAGGGGGTCACCGAATGATGAATAGAACAATTGTAGAACAATTGTTATATTATTCTATTATTGAAATCTGTTTGGACAGCTGGATTAAAAAATATTTCACATACAGGGTTTGTATACAGTGCGTCTGTTAAACTAAGTGCTTTGGAAAAGTAGTGGGTAAATTCTTAAAAAATAATGAAAAAAGTTTTGGAAAGAACGCTCAGAGCCATCGAATTTGAGGTTCATCAAGGCACTCTTTCAAATTCAATAATGCATACAGAATAATAATTCATGTAGGAGAAATTACGTCCTTGGTATTTCTTTAAAGGCAACCCCATTTCATGATAGCACTGAATATTACAGACGCATTGTATACAAACCCTATACTTCTGAATTCAGCATTCCATGAATTTAAAAAAAATTCAATGATATATAGGGTGCTCCCTTTGAAAAAATTGTCGCGGACGTCATAACTCAAACGTGGATTACCCTGTATATCTATTTTTTCCTTATAAATGTGGCAAATTGAAAAGTGAAATCGACCTGTTCCAGGAAGTTTCATCAGAAATGGATAGTTTTACTAAAATGAATGTATTCAGAATACTTCACTAAAGCACTTAATTTAACTTACGCACTGCATAAAAACCATTTGTGTGATATATTTTTGAATTCAGCCATTCATGGAGATTTAAAAAATGTAATAATATATAGGGTGTTCCATTTGAAAAGAATTGTTGCGGACGTCATAACTCAAACGTGGATCACCCTGTATATCTAATTTTTCCTTATAAATGTGGCAAATTCGAAAGTAAAATCGACCTGTTTCAGGAAGGTTCATCAGAAATGGATAATCGAGATTCCAAAAATGTAATAATATATAGGGTGGTCCATATGAAAACATTGTCGCAGACGTCATAATTCAAACGTGGATCAGCCTGTATATCTAATTTTTTCTTATTAATGTGGCAAATTTAAAAGTGAATTCGACCGGTTTCAGGAAGGTTCATCAGGAATGGATAGTTTGCCTGAAAATGAATTTATTCAGCATACTTCACCAAAGCACTCAATTCAACGAACGCACTGTATGAAAACCCTTAGTGTGATATATTTTTGAATTAAGTAATCCATGGAGATTCCAAAAATATAATAAAATATAGGTTGTTTCATTTGAAAACATTGCCTTGGACGTCATAACTCAAACGTGGATCACCCTGTATATCTAATTTTTCCTTATAAATGTGGAAAATTTGAAAGTGAAATCGACCTGTTACAGGAAGGTTCATCAGAAATGGATAATTTTTCTAAAAATGAATGTATTCAGAATACTCCACCAAAGCACTTAATTTAACTTAGGCACTGTATAAAAACCCTTTGTGTGATATATTTTTGAATCCAGCTAATCATGGAGATTCCAAAAATGTAATAATGTTCCATTTGAAAAGAATTGTTGCGGAAGTCATAACTCAAACGTGGATCAGCCTGTATATCTAATTTTTCCTTATAAGTGTGGCAAATTGAAAAGTAAAATCGACCTGTTTCAGGAAGGTTCATCAGAAATGGATAGTTTGGTAGAAAATGGATTTATTCAGTATACTTCACGAAAGCACTTAGTTTAACGAACGCATTGTATAAAAACTACTAGTGTGATATATTTTTGAATTCAGCTATTAATCGAGATTCCAAAAATGTAATAATATATCGGGTGCTCCATATGAAAACATTGTCGCGGACGTCATAATTCACACGTACCTATATCTAATTTTTCCTTATAAGTGTGGCAAATTTAAAAGTGAAATCGACCCGTTTCAGGAAGGTTCATCAGAAATGGATAGTTTGGCTGAAAATGGATTTATTCAGTATACTTCACGAAAGCACTTAGTTTAACAAACGCATTGTATAAAAACCCTTAGTGTGATGCATTTTTGAATTAAGCTTTTCATGGAGATTCCAAAAATGTAATAAAATATAGGGTGTTCCATTTGAAAACATTGCCGTGGACGTCATAACTCAAACGTGGATCACTCTGTATATTCAAGAAATGTGGCAAATGGACAATAAAAATCGACTTGTTTAGCAGATTCCCATAAATGGACAGTTTGACTAAAAATGAATTTATTTGGTACTTAATAAACGCACTGTATATTTTAATGTAAATTTCATGATTATCTCATAGCCTATTCCGAACCTCTATATTTTTGTATGATCATTCAATCCGTTCTACAATTGGTTTTTCAATAAAATAATAAGTTCAACATCTTAGGCCTGAGTAACCATATTTATGAACGGGTCTGCTTAAACCTACATACTATGGCCTGAAACAACCTGAACCAGTAATTACAATCAGTCCAGCTGTTGAATAAGTAGGAATAACCTCTCAAAAATATGAAAACTTTATTTTGGAATACCCTATCTCTTCGTTCCTCAACTTCTTCATTGACTACTAATGTATTCACAGAAGGAGCTCCAAATGCATCTCCAGCTACTGATGAAATTATACCAAGCAGGTTGGATATCCGAGTGGGAAAAATTGTGGAGGTATCTAAACACCCTGAAGCCGATTCCCTTTATGTTGAGAAAATCGACTTGGGAGAGGAAAACCCAAGAACCATTGTGAGTGGTCTTGTCAATTTCATACCAATTGAAGAGATGCAAGACAGAATGGTTGTGGTTTTATGTAACCTCAAACCTGCCAAAATGAGAGGTGTTGAGTCTCAAGGGATGGTACTGTGTGCCTCAGTGTAAGTGACTGAAATTTTTTCAAATGAATTAATTTTGATGAATTAATCAATAATATAAAATAAATATAATATTTGTGATTTTTTTTGTAACGTTTGAGAAAAAATTTGGATATATATTTTTTATTCACGATTTGACTTGAGAAAATGTTTTTTATACAGGGTGTCCGCTAAAAGGAGGTCAATCCATTAACCATATATTCCTTGAATAAAAACAATATGAGTTTCTGAATACCATTTTCCATTTTAGCCCTTCATATTCGATATACAGGGTGTCAAAGTTGGGAATTTTAAACTGTTTTTTTCTAATTACTCGCGTATTCAATGAGATATAAATCTCAAAATTGGTTTATTACTAAAGCACAAAGAGTTACATCGTGTGAGGAAAACAAAACAGAAAAAAACTGTCAAATATTCAAAATACTGGGGGTCAAGTACAAACTTACGCCCATATTTTTTTAGTACGTGCGCTAATGAATTCCTACCTATTTTTCTTCAAGTGTTCGATCATTTTTGAGTAATGTTCGTCTCTTGTAAATTTTGTTAAAATTATTTATTTTTGAGCTAATTCGAAAAGTACTGATTATTGTTTGATGCCTATGCAGTATTCTCATAATGTTCACATACTCCTATTTATTTCGTCGAAATTGGACGAGGGCGTAACTTTTTACGTACGAAAACGTAAATATGGAAAAACCGGGTGCTCAGAGCGAATGTAATGAAATGATTTTTACATAAAAAAATTTATAGAAATTCAACACGTCTAAAAAAATTTCTCGATATGACCTCCAATTTCTGAATACATAGCGAGCCCTTTTATTTGAGGAAAATCTTAGCCTTTGAAAAATATGTGGCTTATACACAAAATCTCCCATACATCCCCAGACAATCCTGATTTGCTATTTCTTTCATCAAGTAGCTATCAAAATCATGGATATCATAATTTCACCTAAAATTTCCGAAAATATTCGCTTTAAATTTTTTCCGATTTTATTTTCCGTTTCCCGTATCTTAAAAACAAATAATTTCATCGAAATTTCACAAGAGACAAAAAATACACAAAAATGATTGAACACTTGGAGAAAAATATATAGGAAGTCATTAGCGCACGTACAAAAAAAATATGGGGATACGTGTGTACCTGACCCCCAGTATTTTGAATATTCGACAGTTATTTCCTGTTTTGTTTTCCTCACACGATGTAACTCTTTGTGCTGAAGTAATGTACCAATTTTGAGATTAATATCTTATTAAATACGCGAGTAATTAAAAAAACAGTTTTTAATTTCCAACTTTGACACCCTGTATATCGAATATGAAGGGCTAAAATGAAAAGTTGTATTAAGAAACTCATATTGTTTTTGTTCAAGGAATATATGGTTGATGGATTGACCTCCTTTTAGCGGACACCCTGTATAATATCCCATCTCAAAGGGTCGATTTATCAATCACTAGTTGGGTCTAATTGGCTCTACTTCGCAGTCAAACTGTTTATCTTTTTCCAAGTTAACTGTAACTGACAGCTAAAGTATCTGCTAATTTAGCTATGAGATGAAAGTAAAAGTTCAGAGTTCAACCCACAGCTATTTCCTGATACTGACATAATGTATTTAATTAGTATGAATTTTTGTTATATTATGTCATGGTGGGAAGCATTTGAATTTTGGAGTATTGATGAAGATGTAGAGATCATAGATTATGAAAGGGTGTCATACACTGTGAAATGAAGACATGGTCATTATATTGATTTTTGATGATGAAGGTTCCTAAAGAAATTTTCTTTTATCATAACTCAGGTAGGATACAAGAAATTTATGAATTCATTACTAATGTATAATTTGTTTGGTGTCACCATAATCATATGAATGAATCATTTTTTCGGCAACCGTTCGGGAAGTGCTTACTTCACGGACGCTTTTTCTTTGAGAAAGTGCAATTTTTCAGGCCTAGTCCGGGAAGTATCACATCATTGTTGTCACTGTAACTATGAAAATGTTGGTAGATATGGTTTGATAAATGCTGATGATCATTGCCTTAACAGCGAAATAACGGCTGACAGCTATATTTGACATGAAATTAGTTGACATTTTGATTTTTGAAATTTGGTTGCAATTATCACAATAAACTATCGAAATCAGCAGTGATAGTGAGTTTGAAAATGTCTATATGAAATTTCCAATGTAGCTCTTATTATAGGTATAGGTATTCTGTGCAAATTTCAGTATTTGACACAAATAAGAATTTGAAAACATCAATGAGTGTACGGAAATGTGCAGCTTCAATTCTTTTCCAGGTTTTTCATTTTCGATAAGATTTTTGAAACTCTTTGCAAGGAGTGAGTGAGTCAGAATGAGACCAACAAACTTTGTATACGGATTCCTAACCTCATTATAAAGTGAAAAGTGCCTATCAACAGACCTGTCGTTTGTGTTTGCTCTACCTGCTAAACTTGATTTTTTTCTATGACTCATTTACATCATGCCATGAACAGAGACACCCTGTAGAGAATAATATAAACACCAAAGCAAGTAGACGAGCAAATTAGAGGTGGATAGACAGTTAATACCTTAACAATGACTCAAGTATTAGTCATCATCTGAGGTATATTCAGTCTGTAAGCAGAAACAACTTTTCTTCCTAAACGTCTTTGAAATTCAAACAAATAAGCCTATTTTCAGCGATTGATTCAAAATTATGTCACTTTTGACAAGTAACGAAAGTCACATGACCCTGACTGAGTGGCAATTTTTTTACTGTTTTAAAACAATTCTTGACGCACAAGTCGAATACCAAAATGAATTATTATTAAAAGTGTTTCCCACTTGATGCCAACTTTCTGAGAGACACTGTATAATCATCAAATTACATAATTATTTGATAAGTGCTACGCAACTTTCCCCTTAGCTCCATTTAGCTCACGTTCGGCAGAAGAAAATAAACTACAGTGTTGTTCACGTCATTACACGACTGACATTTACAAACAGCATTCTGAGTTAAATCCAAAGTAGTCAAATACAGCGTTGTCCATACCAAATTTGATTCCGATGATTACTTAACTTGTTTAAACGGAGACATATTTTTAAATATGAAAACATCGTTTAGTATGTTTCACGTCAATCTTGTGTGCGTTTGATGAAAACATAAAGTTTTTGGATGTATGACTAATTGATATTCATCATACAGGACGTGGAAAAAAATTCTGAATTGAGAATACTTAATCGTGAATCTGTGATTAAGGATCTTCAAAAATAAAAAATTTCCATCGTTCAAGTTTGAACCTCTTGATTGGGTGAAAGTATTGAAAACGAATATTCTCAGATAAATTATGAACATGAAAAAATGGATGTTCAATGTTCGACGTGGCAAATAGCCAGGAAAGTAGTTGTTTACTGTTGAATATTCAGAATGATATTGTGTGCATATACATACATTTTTATCTGAAGGAGAATGCAAATTCTCAACTTCAGAAGATTTTATTTTCAAATTCCTATTGTGTGTGTTCAATAGATATTATACAATGTTCGTTGTGGCATATAGCCAGGAAAGTAGTTGTTTTCTGTTGAATAAACCGAGAAAGAATTGATATTTTCATCACATAGATAATTCGAATTCTCAATGTATTTCTTTATATATATATCCATTTTTTCATGTTCATAATTTATCTGAGAATATTATTTTTCAACATATAATATGTTTGAGAAGGTACTCTCCTTGGCTCATATGCATCCATGGTTGAGGTTCTAATGATAATATTATTTGTAGGGACGATCCAAAGCAAGTAGAAACTCTGATACCACCGGTGGGGGCCGTTGTTGGTGAACAAGTTTATGTTGAAAACTTTGAAGGAGGAAAACCTGATGAGATTCTCAATCCCAAGAAGAAAGTTTGGGAAAAGTTACAGGTAGACTTGAAAACGAGCAAAGATTGTATAGCCCAGTGGCAAGGAAATAGTTTACTTACCAAGTCAGGTGGAAAAATCTATTGTACAAGTATGACTGGTGCGCCAATAAAATAAGTCATAATTTATTTAATGAATTTTACAATAAACCTGTTGGGCTCACAATGTTTTATTTGTTGATGTTAGATTTATGGTTCAACATTGGCCTACGGCAGTAGGCAAGAACATTGATTTCTATAAAGAATAATATGACGGTCATCACTGAGAAAACGCAGAAATATTTTGTATTTTTTATTCCTTCTAGATATCCCAAAATAACCTCCCAAAGAAATGCTCCCGTTGAAACACGACGGAAAGTCGTCAGCGGTACTGGCGTAACGTACTGGCGTAACGTACTGGCGCCAAGTACTATAATGCGCCGAACGTCTATTGGTGCTCGAGAAAAATCTATAATTCACTATTTAGTGAGATCAACAGCGTTGCCGCCTTAGCCGATTCTTTATCTTGTTTGAATATTTTAACATTGGCCGCTCTCAAGATTCAACCAATTTCAACAATGTCATGGATAAACTGAGCAAGACATTCTGAAACTAATAATAATAATAATGGTCTTTATTCATCAATTACAAATTACAAACTACAAATTGCATTAAGATTGACTAGAGTGTTTGATTATGCATTGATGAAGGGCGAAGTTCAGCCTAGGCTGTTTTTCAACTCACTTGTTCTTGTTTTCTTATAAACTGGATTATGACATATAGATATTAGAGTGATGTCATCAGAATTTGAGATTCATTAAAATTGCAAGTAACTATACCAAAATCATTTAGTTAGGTTGTGTAATTGAAGATTAGACCGAATTTTGTCGCTCCTCATCGATCCTACAAAATCAGCATGGTTTAGATATGGTCTGGGAAACATGGACGTCGACAGGACGTCCCTGCAACGTCATGAAACACTTCTTATTTTACCCTTCTAAGTGAAGTTCACTCGACGTCGAGATGATGACGTGATTCTCACGTCATAGAAAGTATGTCATAGTGACGTCATAAATCGGTGTGAAGTTGAAATATTATTACCAAAATATATTAGTTTGAAATATTCTTTTATCCGTTTCGATCCGTTTACATCTCACCGATAGTGACTAAGTGACTTCATAAGTTTAGATACTAATTCGAGTAGCTTGTCATTTTCTAACGTTCCAACGATATAGCCGTTGCAATGTTGCAAAAATACGACTGAATGGATAGGACACCTGGAGAATGGCCCATCAGCGCTACCAAGTCACGACAATGTATGAGGTTAACCTTCAAAATGGACATCTTATCACAATCTTATCATCCATTATTATTATTATTATTTTCATTTTTTGATCGTTCCTATGCCAGTATGGGGATTTGAAAGCCCATCAATGGAATGAATGCCGTCGCCCGGAGTGTCTTATTGGCACCCAACGCTAGTTATTTTGCCGCAACATCTAGTTTATAGGAGCGCAATGTATTGGGCCTTCATTTTACCGCAAATGAATGGTTGTTGGGCTGTTCCCTAATGACAGACATTCTTCAAAAAATTATAATGGAAAAGAGGAGAGTACAATCTTCCGAATCTAAATATTAGAGAATAGGTATATTATATATTTATTATTTGTGTTAGAGTTATGAAATCAGTACCTGTATGATTATCATTAGATATTTTCAATATTATTGACATATTTGTTTTTCAGTCAGGGTGTTATTTACTTCTCATGTTAATTAAGTAAGTTGTTCGAATTACAATAATTGAACATTCGATTACGTTGTGTCCGAATTATTTTTGACTATTCCACTCTTGATCTCGAGAACTAATCAGAATCGTCCATTTCCACGGTTTCTTCTGTATTCTAGCGATATTTTTTGTTTATTGAATTTTATCGGACTTGCTCTACCAATACAGAAGCCGAATTGACCCACACGTGACCAACAAACCTCGTTTATCAGCGATAAAATTTTGACATCGTGTCAGGTCAAAATTGCTTTGGATTCAAATCTGAGACAATAACATTACCTAACTTCCTACTTTATTTTATTTACTTATGATTTGCGTTAATGAGACATTTTGTACGAAAGGCGAGACAATTTTATTCTGGCTGGAAGTTTCATGTGTAATTAAAAAGTTTGCATATTTGTTGACGGTCTGACAACAATACTAGATTCAAATTCCTTTCGGAAGTAATCTTCTTCAATTATTCAAGTTATTGTGACAGGCATAATTAATAATAAAGATGATGTGGCGCAAGTGATAGGGTTGTTGCCCGAGGATACGAAGGTCGGTGGTGCGAGCCCCTAGGCAACGATATCTTTTTTTAATTATTTCATGTCACATAAATTAATTATTTTTTTTTAATTGGATAGCAATTGTGTACACTCTTTTGAGAGCAACCATCTCCGAGATGATAAAAAAAATACTGTTTATCAAAATTGTACATTCCACTTTGTGAATAACTACAAATAGGTAGTTAATTTCTAAAAAATTGAATTCTGTATTTCATTACTATCATTATGTTCTTCTTCGCAGTTTGAGTTGGAATATGCTTAAATGATGTTTCCTATTTCTTATCTATTGTCTCATTCAATCATGAAATAGTCATACGAATACAACTACGACTATTTTTCCTGGAAATATTCGTCGATTGACATACTCCAGCTTGCTGTTCTAATTTCGCTCATGACATTGATCCAAAACTACTCGCCTACGGCTCGTAGTTTTGATAACAATGTCATTCACGAAATTACTAGGCAATCATGAAATAGTCATACGAATACAACTACGACTATTTTTTCTGGAAATATTCGTCGATTGACATACTCCAGCTTGCTGCTCTAATTTCGCTCATAACATTGATCCAAAACTACTCGCCTACGGCTCGTAGTTTTGATAACAATGTCATTCACGAAATTACTAGGCAACAAGCTGTCGTAACAATCACCGAATATTTCCGGCAAAATATTATCACTTGTGGTATTATATATGATAAAATATGATCACTTTTTCATTCTTTACAATCCGCGTCCGAAGTCGCATCCCCCAAGACTGAAAAAGTCGGATACGCTTCTTTCAAGAATGTGGTGAATTCAATGTTCTTATAACTTTTATAGTTATAGTAGCTAAATGTCTGTTTCACATAGTGTCCAAATGTGTCCACTTTTCGAATAAAAAAATAAAATATTTTCAAGAACATAAACGAAAGGTTTATATCACAATTCTATATAGCAAATACAAGTTCTACGTTGGGTGAAAATGTGAAGAGGAAAAAACGATTTTTCGATAAGTTATGGCGAAAAAACTTTAAAAAATGTCCGAAGTTACCTCATTTATCGGTGCCATTACATTTCCTACTACGAAATTAGTGATTGATCAAGGAATCATCAAGCCGTTAAATAACTTTTGAGACCGAAGGACTTGCTTCTTAAAAACAATTCTTTTATTCAAAATGGACAATGATACATGTGAGATGATGTTAACGGTATAAAAACTAAGTTCTGACTGCCGGCCGAAGTGCGTCTAGGAACAAGGTAGACTATTGTCTAGCTCAGCATCTTCTTCTTAGGCGATGGGGATACAAGCTGCGTCAGCGGAATCCCTGGGATAGGTGGTGACATAATTCGTTGGTCTCTACCAGTTGTATTGGTTTCCATGAAGGATGGATTCACAAGAGTTTGGGTGGATAATAGGAAATTCAATGACGTTATACCTAACAACATTGACAAGATCAAGATGGTTCTCAGCCTAAACTTTAAATTCAGACTACTCATTTTCAAAATGGGAATAATCATCTTCAAATTGAGGCGAAATGATTGAGTATGGATTAAACACATTCAAATTGAGAAAAAACGAATTCAAATTGAGACTAATATAACTTTCAGAATGGGACCCAGTGAACAATTTCGGTCGTTATTACGTCGGCCCAAAACCTCTGCTTTTCAGAAGCGGTCGACGCTGCAAAAGAGAGGCAGACGACGGTCCGACGCCAATAGGCAGTGGCCGACGGCTGGACCGATGCCTGTATGCCATCACACCTAAAATAAAAGTGACCGGTCGCCGCGTTCGAACCTTTGGATTACACCAGGGATCTTATCAACTGAGTCATTCCATTTCCTATTAGATTTGAGTACGGATGACTTATGAGTACTATCAATGAATCATAATAGCATACTAAAAGATAACAATTTCTGATTCGCCGATAAGCGAGACGAGTTTCTGTGGCCCACTTGAGTCTGTATTGAATTTCTTAGAGAAATATAATGACTACATCAAGTAGTTAATTTAATAACCCATCAGCGAGCAACTATCGGATACGTAACGGAATGTAAAAGAACGGAAAATAATATAGGTAATAGAGGTGAATTGACATTCATTATATCTCCATCACTGTCGAAAGGATCACTTTATATACAGGGTGTCCCATGAGTAATGGATCAAAAGAAGTGGGGTGGTAGGGGGTCATTTGTAATCAAACTAACGGTATATGTTGTTATCAAATTGTTGATGGTTCAATAACAAAAAGGCTGTTTTGAATAACCCCATATGTTATACCATTTTGGAATCTGTGTTGAATGGGAAACTCAAGGAAACTAACATTTTCCTCAGGTAATTGATAAAAAGTAATACATTTCATAAAATTATTTCTGGGAAAAGGTGCATCCATGTGGATGACATTTGTAATACAAAAATCACAAAAATTGTGACATAAACTACTCAACACTAATTTCGTCGCATTCCAAAATGTCGCCTCTGTTATAATGTGAATAACTTTTTTCAGTTTAGAACAATTTGAATTTGGTTCACACTGTTCGATAGCCCAGTCCTTCAGCTATAATCTGGTACTTCATTGAAACATAAGGGTATTCACATAAAATCTCTACATGGTGTTTTCCGACACTGTGCAAAATTTCGGAATATTCAAAAGGCTCTCAAATGGTGAAAAAAATTGTTTTCTCAACTTCGACAACAGGGGCATGAAGATGATCACATTACCTCGAGATATTCCGCGAATCAACTTCCTATCTCTCTTATTTACAGAGTGATATCAAAAAAATCAACTTTTTGGTTTTGCAGCCATAACTTTTTTTCACGTCAACCGATTTTGGAAATCTTAGGCTCATTATAAAGATAAAACTTCAGA